AGATTGCTCCGCGTACTAAAGTTGTACTAGAAAGTCGCCAGTTCTCAGCTTCCAGCTCCACAGATACTCCGCGTACTAAAGTTGTACTACAAAGTCGCCAGTTCTCAGCTTCTAGCTGCACAGATTGCTCCGCGTACTAAGGTTGTACTAGAAAGTCGCCAGTTCCCAGCTTCCAGCTCCACAGATACTCCGCGTTGTACTACAAAGTCGCGAGTTCTCATCGTCCAGCTCGCCAGATACTCCGCGTACTAAAGTTGTACTACAAAGTCGCCAGTTCTCAGCTTCCAGCTCTACAGATTGCTCCGCGTACTAAAGTTGTACTAGAAAGTCGCCAAGAGCCGCCAGTTCTCAGCTTCCAGCTCCCCAGATGCTGTGCCTGCCACGAAATCTGCGCATGGAGGTTCACAAACTGCTGTGCCTGCCACGAAATCTCCACATGGAGGTTCACAAAGTGCTGCACCTGCCACGAAATCTGCACATGGAGGTTCACAAAGCGCTGGCCACGACATCTGCACATGGAGGTCCACAAAGTGCTGTGCCTGCCACGAAATCTGCACATGGAGGTTCACAAAGTGCTGTGCCTGCCACGAAATCTGCAATGGGAGGTTCACAAAGTGTTGTGCCTGCCACGAAATCTGCACATGCAGGTTCACAAAGTGCTGTGCCTGCCACGAAATCTGCACTTCAAGAAACAAGTGATAACTCTAATCCCAATGGAGGGACGATTCCGACCATGCCCGAGAATGATCCGAGAATGACCCGAGACCGTCTTGCAACCGTCGTTCCGCAGACCTTGACTTGCCAGCTTCGGAGCCACCGGTTCCATTGAAAAATTCAGCATTTCGTGCCTTCGCTATCTCTCCACAACGCATTTTGTATTCCGCCTGCCAGGAAATCTGCACATGGAGGTTCACAAAGTGCTGTGCCTGCCACGAAATCTGCACATGGAGGTTCACAAAGTGCTGCACCTGCCACGACATCTGCGCATGGAGGTTCACAAAGTGCTGCACCTGCCACGAAATCTGCACATGGAGGTTCACAAAGTGCTGCACCTGCCACGAAATCTGCACATGGAGGTTCACAAAAGTGTTGTGCCTGCCACGAAATCTGCACATGCAGGTTCACAAAGTGCTGCGCCTGCCACGAAATCTGCACATGCAGGTTCACAAAGTGCTGCACCTGCCACGAAATCTTCACTTCAAGAAACAAGTGAAAACTCTAATCCCAATGGACGGACGATTCCGAGAATGATCCGAGCATGACCCGAGACCGTCTCGCACCCGTCGTTCCGCAGACCTTGACTTGCCAGCTTCGGAGGCACCGGTTCCATTGAAAAATGCAGCATTTCGTGCGTTCGCTATCTCTCCGCAACGCATTTTGTCTTGCGCCTGCCACGAAATCTGCACATGGAGGTGCACAAAGTGCTGTGCCTGCCACGAAATCTGCACGTGGAGGTTCACAAAGTGCTGCACCTGCCACGAAATCTGCACATGGAGGTTCACAAAGTGCTGCACCTACCACGACATCTGCACATGGAGGTTCACAAAGTGCTGTGCCTGCCAGGAAATCTGCACATGGAGGTACACAAAGTGCTGCACCTGCCACGACATCTGCACATGGAGGTTCACAAAGTGCTGCGCCTGCCACGAAATCTTCACTTCAAGAAACAAGTGAAAACTTTAATCCCAATGGACGGACGATTCCGAGAATGATCCGAGCATGACCCGAGACCGTCTTGCACCCGTCGTTCCGCAGACCTTGACTTGCCAGCTTCGGAGCCACCGGTTCCATTGAAAAATACAGCATTTCGTGCGTTCGCTATCTCTCCGCAACGCATTTGGTCTAAAGTGCTGTGCCTGCCACGAAATCTGCACGTGGAGGTTCACAAAGTGCTGCACCTGCCACGACATCTGCGCATGGAGGATCACAAAGTGCTGCACCTACCACGACATCTGCACATGGAGCTTCACAAAGTGCTGCACCTGCCACGAAATCTGCACAGGGAGGTTCACAAAGTGCTGCACCTGCCACGAAATCTGCACCTGGAGCTGGAGTTGCCTGCAGCTTGAGCTTTCGAAACCAGAGCTGGTCTGTGATGAGTGGTGTATGATGAGTGGTGTATGATGAGTGGTGTATGATG